TGTGTGTGTGTGTGTGGGAAAGTGGATAAAAGTAGTTACTGAGAAACTATATTCCTGTAGAAAAAAAAATTAAAATATCTACCAAACATGGAAAAACAAAATTCTTAATTTAAGATTTTCAGGAAAGTAAAATTATTACACATGCCAAATGCTCCCTCAGAACAAGTGAATTCCTCGTGCGTGTATATATATATATAATATATTAAATGGTCTTCTTAAAGCCTTTATCCTTCTATTTTTATCTTCAAGCTTTGAGTATTCATATTCTTTATAGAAACAATATATAGAAGAAGAAGAAAATTGAAATACAATTGTATCACGTTAAAAATACCAAAAGCAAATACATATAAATTTAACCAAATAAATTACATAAATAATGTTCAAGCAATCATTGTAACACTAAAATAAATTCATACAATCTATCAAATTAAGGTCAAAAGTAACAAAAATACAATAAGTGAAATAAAGGTTTAGCATGCAAACAATCTCAATTAAGTCCAATTAAAATTTTAACTTTTCGAAATTTGTATTTAAGTTGAATTGGTCATTCACATTTTCACACTCAAAATATTTAGACAATTTTGCTCAAACATTTTTAATTATTTTATGTATAAATTAATTTATTTTTAGAGAAACTAATATAAGTAAATTAATTTGTACATAATTTAATTTATAGATAAACTTATTTTATGTTGTATTAGTGTTTTTTTTCTCTTTATATTTTATGTTGTTATATTTTTCTCTTAATATTTTTGAAAAAATTATCTAAGCATTTTATTGCGTGTGCAAATATTGTAGATTCAATTTACAGTTTGTTTAATCAATAAAAAAGTGGACAAATATTTCACATACTAACTAACTTTACTCGAGATGTTCAAAAACTAACTAACTTTCATTTTATATAAAAAAAAATCAAATCATTAAAAAAAAATTATATATAAACTAATAACTAAATAACATTAAAATAATAGATAACTACTAGAATCGGAAATAGGTAAAGTGGAGCCTTAAGCAAAAAATTTAGGTTAAAACCCTAATTTGGTTCATTATAATATATATTTTTTAATTTAGTCTCACTTTTAATTTTTTGTTTTAATTTGGTCCCTAATAATTTAAATTAGTGCAATGTCAGACTTCCGTCCAAATTATTTAAACGGAGTTAACTGTTGGTCATGTAAATGCCACGTAGATGCATAGATGAATGTCAAATTTATTTAATGCACCTGGAATCAGAACGACCCGTTTTAGTTGCACATGTTGTGTGTTAATTTTGCATCTGGAACCCGTTCTAGATGCAAAATTAACACACCATGAGTGTAGCAGAACAGGCCGTTCTGAAATCAAAACGGGTTGTTTTGAAACCAGAACGGACCGTTCTGGATTTAGAACGGGTCATTCCAGAACGCCAATCACACATGTACGTTCAACAAAATACCGCAATGTGGTTCAAAAATTGAAAATAAAAATTCATAACATAACATATACTAAGACAGCGCAAAGAAATTACTAAGACGGGAAATCATCTGTATAACGTTGAAGGTGCCAATAATACATCTTATCCACCATATAACACTGAATGGCTGACAAGATATCAACATTATCTACCTGTCCATGTGGTTGTGTGGTGAAATGTTGGTCCTGTGTGTCATCTTCCTCTACTTCAGGTTATACCTCCTCAAGAATAAGTTGTTGTTGTTGGGGTACATATCGGTCAATGACTTTAAGGAAAAATACCATGTCATTTCATCCTTGACTGTATAGTGTTGATTTGGTAGTAGGGATGGCAACGGGGCGGGGCGGGTACGGGTTTCATGATACCCATCCCCGTCCCCGCGACCGAAACTCATACGCGTCCCCGTCCCCATACCCGGTGGGTATGGAATTTTTATCCCATCCCCGTACCCGTTAAATTTTTTTTTTCAACTTATCTTCACGCCAGTCACGGGCATCCACGGCACAAGCTCTGCACAACACCTTGGTCTGTTCAACCTCACCAACAACGGAAACGCTGGTAACCTTGGTTTGCAAAAGAATTTCAGTTCCACAATCACACAAAAATTCATCAGGAACATGAGTTATATGCATGCTGCCAATTATATATATATATATATATATATATATATATATATATTTTAAACCAATTAAACCTAACTCATGACCCCAGCATGAAAAAACGAAAGGAAAATCGAGCCAAACAGAACCTACAAAGTTCCAAAAAGTTATAAAACCAAACAAAAGGGGAAACACCATACCGTGAGCCTTCAATATACAGAGAATCTTGCTTCCGGTGACACTTCACCTCAACAATTCCATGAGAGTCTCGAAGAATCACACTGATTTGAGATGGAGTGGTGCGTGCGGGCTGGTGCGGCACTACGGGCTGTGGCTGCGGGGCTTGAGAGTCTCAACTCCTCACTTTTAACCCTAGCTAAAAGAAATAAGGGGCAACAGAGTCAAGATTCCTTAACTTTATAAATGTTAACAAATTTTAAAATGAAATCGGGTACGGGTATGAAACCGGGGACGGGGATGGGGACGGGGACGGGGCGGGTAAGTATATACCCGTACCCGTCCCCATCCCCGGGTTAATATTTCGGGTTTTACCCATACCCGTACCCGTACCCGGTCAAACCGTGTATTCCCCGTCAAAGTCGAGACGGGTTCGGGTATTACCCACGGGTACGGGTTTATTTGTCATCCCTATTTGGTAGTAAGTGATACACTCCAGTTTGACTAACAATGAAATAAAACCTGTCACCATTGTCCTTAGTGATACACTGTATTGTCCTTAATGATACATTGTATAGCCCAAATGTTTAGCAATTGAAGTTATCAATCCTCATTGATAATATTACCAAATCCAAGTGTTTAAAATGCTCTGTACCTTGGGTTTTTTTTTACACGATTCACAACAGTGATTTAGAATCACGGACGTGAACTATAAGTTTGTGTTTGACATTCTATAACCAGAATGGTCCGTTCTGGTTGCAATTTTGCATCTGAAACAGCCCGTTCCAGGTGCAAAATTAACACTCTAAGAGTGCAACCAGAACGGACTGTTCTGGTTTCAGAACAGACCGTTCTGGTTCTAGATGTATTAAAAAATTTGGCATCCACCTACGCATCTACGTGGCATCCACGTGACATCCAGTTAACTACATTTAAATAATTTGGACGGAAGTCCGACATTGCACTTATTTAAATTATTAGGGACCAAATTGAGACAAAAAATTAAAGTAGGACTAAATAAAATAAACAAATATTATAAGGAATCAAATTAAGTTTTTAACTAAAAAATTATAATTTTCCTATTTAAAAGTTTGACTTCACCTATTTAATAAAAAAATATTTTTTTATCATTAGAATTACATTATTAAAAAAGTGTGATAGATCGGTCTATTTATATATATAATAACAAAAATAATATATATTACATTATTATCAATATAGTTAAATAAATAATTTATAGAACAAAAAATTAAATTATAAACATTTCTTATATTTTCACTATATTTAAATATTTTACATATCTTGTTGGTACAAATCAAAAAATTGAAAATAGAAATCCTAAGAATATATAGTTGGTTATTTAGATTTTTCTTTTTACCAAATTATTTAGTATATTTTAAATGGAATATATAGGATGTTTTGAAAGTATTTTTTTAGATAAGATTATTTTCTTTAATTATAACATGTGTGTGAGTATATGTTAGAGTACATGAATATGTATTGATTGTTCATCTTAACATTTTTTTATTTTATTTTAAACACTATTTTTTAATAATTATAAAATAAACTACTTTTTCATGCAAATTAAAAGAAAAGGCAACAAAAATTGTATAAAAATTTATACATCATAACTTTTGTGTTTATCTCTCTATTATTTCATTTATTATAGAATTTTTTTTATCAATGATAAAAAGAGACAATCTTTTATTATAAATATAACATTACCTTTAATTTTATAAAATATATAGTTAGTATGTATATTCAAAATTTGATTTATCCCAACTAAACAAAAAAAAAATACTCTCATTAATACCGTAAAGAAGTTGAAAACTAATTTGATGTATTACATCCCTAATACAATCCGTGAACTAGCACAGGTACTATAACATAAATGGAAGTCTAGCCTTAAACAAAAATGGAACCCTAAACCATAAATTAATATTTGTGTCTCTCTAAAAAAAAAACAACTTTATTTTATAAATTAATCACTCCGTCGTTTTCAAAACTTATAAAAAAAGACATAAAAATCATTATTAACTCGAACATTTGTGCCGTACACTATGGAACTGTATGAAGGTAGCCATTATTTTATACTGAAAGAGTTGGTAATTGAATAATGTTAATGTGGCGTAGAAGAAAGATATACTCGACACGAATCACACGATGAGGATGAGATTTTTCAATTTTTGCATCAACGGTGGCGATGAAACGCGAGTGTCGCGTCGCTGCAACAAAACAGAAAACGTGGCTGTTACCATTTCAACACACTCACTCCAAGCCATACTTATTTTTATTATTTTTCTTTCTCCAAATTCGAAAATAGTAATAACACCATAACATGGCAGTCACTCTCTCCGTCCGGCCCGACCGTCTTTCCGCCGGTTCAGCTTTTCCCGGACCGCCGGTCCGGCCTCCGCTGCGGAAGCCAATCGTCAGCGAACCGTGGCGCGCGGCGCTGGTGCGGATACACTGCCGCCGCAGGGCGGTGGCGCCGGTGAAGGCCGGGTCGCGCGCCGATGACTCGGCGCCTTTCGAGATGTCGGTGGAGAACGCGCTGAAGCTGTTGGGCGTGTCGGAGGGCGCTTCCTTCGACGACATACTCCGCGCCAAAAACGCAATCCTCGCCAATTGCAAAGATGACAAAGATGCCATTGCGCAGGTTAACTTTTCTTCAATTTCCGACGCCAATTGTTATGTGGAACTACTCATTCGCGCCCACACGCATGTATAGATTTTAGTTATTAATTGCGTGAAGAAAAACAAGGAACTCTTGCGATAGAACAATCAGAATCTGGTTTCTGATGTGATAAGTAGTTGGGAAATTTAGAAGCAAATTCACCTTGCACTTGGTTGCTAGTTATAGCACAAGTATGAGAAGGTGGAGTTGCATCAAGGATATCATCTAACCGGGAGAGACTAATTCCTTTTGAGACGTAATAATTACCTAGTTATTTGTCAACTATGCTAGTAGAATTAACTTTTATAATTTTTTACTAGGGGCCATAACTTTGGTTTCTTATTGGTTTTTATATATTACAGAAGTTTTTGTAGAAGTTAGATGAGAGAGGTATAGTAAAAATTTATTAGCAAGTGTACAATAACTCACACACAACTCAACCAACTCATTTTTATACTATTTGGTAGTTGAGAGAGGTTTTATAAAAATTTAGTACATAAGTTAAATTCATTTTACAGGAGATACTTAATTTATTTTATCTTCTTAATTGATTTAGATTTAAAGGATTATAGAAAAGTTTATCCAAGCAAGATGATATTATTGGTTAAATATATTTCTCAAATGGTTAATCTATTATTTCCTATTACCTGAGCATGTTTTTTTTTTCCTCACCTTATGAGCTGTGTGGGTTTTGGTTGTCTATGTAACTGTTGATTGGGCAAAGAAATATGATGAATCTCTTGGTTGTGTCATTTGGGTAAGGACCAAGGAGAAATGCTAGGAAAATATTCTATAACACATTATTTTGCGCACATTCCACTCTGAATAGTTAAAACTTATTGATAATGACAAATTTAGGGAGTCTCACATCCTACTTAATGAATCTTTCATGATTTTGTTGTTTTCAATGAATTTTAACCGATAATAAAGTGTGTTGCTAGCACACCTCTTTAGGTAAGATTTATTCTTTCAGTATTGAATATGAGCATGCAGTTGTGTGTTTCTTATTAATTGACAAGGATAAGGTCAATCCTCTAGGTGGTGAATTGGTCAGTAATGGAAATGATTAGCGTGTCATGTTTAGTTAACTCTTTCTGGAATTCTGGATAAAGTGGATTCAAGTATTGATACAACTAATGGGTATTTTCTAGGTTGAGGCTGCATATGATATGTTGCTTATGCAGAGCCTAACTCAGCGGCGGGCAGGGAAAGTTGCAAGCAGTAGTGTTCGTTATGCTGATGTCAAACGTGTTAAGTCTCCAGCTGCAGGATCAATGCCTCAATGGTTGAAGAATTCTCCTGTATCAATAGAAACACCTTCCACCAGTGATTTTGGTTTACAAGCTGGAGTGTATGGTGCATTGATGGGGTTAACCTATCTTAATGGGGCATCTGCACCTGCCGCAGCTTATGCTGGGGCTGATGTTCCCGGACTCCTCTTGGCTGGTAGCTTTGGAGCTTCCCTTTACTTCATGACCAAAAAGAATGTTAAGTTAGGTAAAGAGTGTTCTCGTACATACTGTGCACTTTATAATACGTTCATAGCAATTAAAAAGGATTTTTGTTTCCTACCTGGCAATATTCATATTGACTTATATGTTGGAAAGAAAATGAGATCTGGAAAGGCCACGAGGAGTGGGAGAACTAGAGAAAGTGAACATGATGAGATATTGAGTTTTACCATCTTGTTTTCCTTTGTTGAAAGCAATAATATGAATCGACCTCAACTTTTGGATTCTTTGAAAATAATTGTCTCGTTTTATTTATGTAACGAGATTATGCATGACCCATTTATAATAATTGCATTGTAATTAGACAAAGTGCACAATTAGTGGCTGCGTTGTTAACTAGTTACTAGTTCACCACACTATGTCAGAACATTGAGTCCAACCTATTGACTTCATTTCTTATGTTCTCCCAGAGCGAGACTCCCAAAATTAGAAGTTTGATTATGGGTTTATAGAAAAGACTTGTAATTGTAATGCTGCTGATCTGGATCTCGTGTCTCTGAGATGAGGGCTTAATTTATCTAACATGAAGATTATATGTCTAGAAGGAATAACAAGTATCAAATAATGTATGGCACTGCAGTTGAAAAAGTTGACCTACTTAACAAATGGCACTTCTAGCTATGGGTGGTTGAGATCTTTTCAAAGTTTGTCGGAACTTTTGCCTCTTTCTTAATTTCTGTTTTATAATTTTGGATTAGTATAAAACAAGTTTCATTCCTTTCTCATTTTTCTCCTTTTCGTTTTCTGCTTATTTTTCGCAGGAAAGGCCACTGTCATAAGCATAGGAGGAATCGTAGCTGGTGCTGTTGTAGGGTCAGCTGTAGAGAACTGGTTGCAGGTAGACATTGTCCCATTCCTGGGCATACACTCCCCTGCTGCTGTTGTTAGTGAAATCATTATTATATCTCAATTCTTGGTTTCTCTGTACCTAAGGTAAACAGGAATACATGGTGATCTTACATTAAATTGTGAAACTTGTAATTATTCATTTGCATGCAGCATGATCATACCTAAGGTAGACAGGGAAGGCTACTGTTATAACCATAGGACTCATAGCTGGTCCCCTGTGGTTGTGTCAGCTGGAAGAACTGGTTGTACGTAGATGTTATACCATTTCTTTTCTGGGCATACACCTCCCTGCTGTTGTTAGTGAAATCATAATTCTCTCTCATTTCTCGGTTTTCTCTGTACCTAAGGTATAGACAGGAAAACATGGCAATCTTATATTAAATGTGAAGCTTGTAACTATTCATTTGCATGCAGCATGATCATATATACCCAAGCTATTTTTAGGTTGTGAAATCATGCATATTGTACAAAACTTCGAATAGAGTCTAGTTGTTTATCTGGCAAATTAGAGGCGTGAAACTTACGTTTGAAAGGTGCAGATTTATGTCCACAGTTGGTGAGCAATTGAGAATGGTACAATCTCATTAAGTCCGTCTTGCTTTGTTTAATAGGCCAGAATAAAAGAACACATGGGAGTTTTGTCTCCTTTTTAATCCTTTAAAGGTGTTTTTAACCCTTCACTTTCTTATTTGGTTTCCAAATTTGAAACAAACTTCCTCACATGGAAGTGATTTTCGTAGTCCAAAGGGCATATATCCTGTTTAGGTTTGTGTACATCTTTGTGTTATGGGTCCTCTCACATGGTCAGTGCGGTCGATGTGCTTGCATGTTTATGATGCATATCAAACCATGCTACTTTAAACGTGCGACATTTTGGCGTTTTTGTTCCAAAGCTTTATGATTATGCGTCTCTTGTGTTTTTCCGGTGGGTCATAAGCACTTGCCTTTTGTACTACATCTCTCACGCAAAGACTGCACCTCACTCTTTTCAGCATGCGACACAAATTGTGTTTGATAAAAAAAATTAGAATAAATGAAAAGAAATCGGAAAGGCATGGGATTTACTTATTATTATACGATACTTAAATCCGTTTTAGTTGCATCAAAGGTATCTATTCTATTTTGTTTTTCTTTTTTTATTTATCCTTTCATTTTTTAAAATCCGCACGCTCTTTTTTTATTATTTTTTTATTTTTAACAATATATAGAGACACTTACCATTATATAAAGGGGTACATCTTTTATCAACCTTTTTTTCTTCTCAACAATTCGATCGATCGATAGATTATTGTACCATTTAATAGTCTTCTAAACTACATTTTTACCACCTCAATTCGATTGGTAATCGCATTTCTCTATTTCAACTCACGCTGTTATTAAAACCAATGCACAATCTCTTATTACTCATTTCAAATCATTTACTAACCTGTAACGTACTGAAATCAGTTTTACTTGCGGTAAAACTGTAAAAGCACTTGTTCTCCGTTTTTCTTTTTTCCATATACCCGTTCATTATTATTTTTAAATAAAAAAAAATTGCTCCTTTTTCATTTTTAAAACAAAACATGTAAAGGGAATATATTTTTGATTAACTGTTTTTAGACTCTACAATTTGCTAGGTGATTGTACCCTTTAATTGTCCTCTAAACTACATCTTTACCCCCTCAATTTATTTGGTAGCCGCTTGCTCAACTCCCACTGTTAAAAAAAAAAATTTGCACAATCACTTATTACTCATTTTCAAATTATTTACTAAACATACTGAAATCAGTTTTGTTTGTAGCAAAAGCACCTATTCTTCCCTCTCCATTAAATCTCCTCAATATTGAAGGAGTTAGAGTTAAAATTAGATGAAGAAATTTACTTATCTCCTTCCCTCCCTTCCAGCGTATCTGTCGTAATTAATTATGCAAATATCGTAAGTATTACCCAATTGATGACATTCCCTTATTTATCTGACCTTTTACCTGCTATGCTAAACACACAAAATGGGAGGAAAATATAATCAACATAGTGAACAGTCAGCAACAATAGGGTACTGATACATTAGTGCACTCCGTCGACTAATACCTTAAAAATTGATGTCTAAGCGAGCTGCTTCGACACAACACCAACACATAATAACATAATTACTTACATAAGACACCCCAAACTCACAAATACTAACAGAACTCTATTGACCGTTTTGGTTGTTGCAATTTTCAACATCGCAGCCACCCTCTATATACGTAATGTTCCCAACCTTGTCACTATTTTCACTAAAAGTTACAAGACCATTGTACATTTTTTGTGATGCTTTGGAGAACTCTGTCAAAGATTCAAAGACTAGAGAGAACCCAGATTGCAATCCATGTAAAGTAATTCTCTGTGTTTCTTGCATGCAACTGTGGTGCTTCTCCTTCTCCAACTCAAGTTTTCTTCTCACTGTCTCCAAATGATCACTCTTCTCCATCATGCATTCCTCTTGATGATCAGTTCCCACCTCTGATTCACGGTCCGCCACATGAAACTCAAGCATCTTAGTCTCCAGTTTATGTGATCCTGAAGAATGTCTTCTTTCCAAATCTCTTGCCAACCTGTCTACCTTCCTTTTCTGCTGTTGCTCTTTGCTTTGCTGCTGCCACAAAGCTCTAACATCCTTCACTATGCTTTTCAATGCAAGTGTTACCATCTTATCTGGTAACTTTTGCAGTGAAGCTAACCAATCGTTGCATATCACCAACAGTGGTGGCCCATTGACTTGGTATGGCATGGAAATATTTTTGCTTCTCGAGTAAAATTCAACTTCAGGGACTATGAACTTACTCAGCCATCCATGGAGAGCTTCAACATAAGCTTTTTGTGCTGCAGTGTACTCTTTAAAGCAGTCGCGCCAATTATGAAGCTGGGCTTCAAGCTGAACAGTCGCAAAGCCATGAGATTGATTGCAGAATTTCCCATACGAGGCGCATGTGAAGTATTTCACTTCAGATAGAATCTTCTTCTGGGTTTCATGGGACTCTAACATGATCTTCCATGACTTCGTCAGGCTGCATTAGGAAAATGAGACATAAGAAATCAATGAATTTGAAATTATCTAGTTTGTTTAGTTTCCAGTGGTAATGCTATCCCACCCTTTTAATAGTTCAACAATTTGAGGTTGCAATTCTTCATCTCTCATTTTCTCAATTCTCTTAGAGATTGACTCTGCACGGCGAATTGCAACCAAGATCCCAGCATATAGATCTTTCACTTCAGCTCTAGTTTTGTCCATGCTTAGTACATTATCTCCTCTAACATTCTTATTTCTCAGCTGTGCACATTTTTTTTCATAATTTTTCCTCGTGCTATCTCCAGCCTAAAGGTAAGGAAAATTTTCAAATGTTAAAAGCAGAGGAAGACACAAGGAGGAAAACAAGGCCATGCTTGAAAAATACAAATTATGATAATTGATAACTATGAAATTAAATTTTAAAAAAAGGTTAAAAATTCTCAAGGGAAGTTGATTTCATTCATCTCCTCTTTGTTTGCATAATTATCAAGGTCTGGATGCTGTGAAGTTTAGCAATTTGTTTGTTGACATACAGAAAGCATTCAATATAAACATATATAGAGACATGGACAGAAATTACTGACACGACATATACACTGCACTCTGTGACATATGCAGTTGAAAGAGACTCCTGTACAAGTCTAAAACTACTCCATTGGACAAAACAATCATACATTTTAGAAAAATGAAAAGCCATGATTGTCTTCAATTATAAATTTGGTGGTCAAGGTGGTTGAGACTACACTAGTAAAAGTTTTGGTATTTCCAGAAATGAAACTAAATCACAAGACATGACATGAAATGTGATTGGAATTTGCAACTCTCCAAATAGGCACTAGTCAAATAGAAGTAGGTGTATATAGTCCTCAAATCAATACCAATGCTCTACACAACATTACATGGATTAGTGATTGGGAAGAAAGATTACAAAATTAGGCAGAAGAATCTACCAAGTATTTCAAAATTTCATTTGCGAATTATTGATCAAAGCTATATAAATCTGGATATGTTTTAATAACTGATCTGAGTTTGCCTACTAGGAAGCCTATAACAAATAACACAGATTAAAAATATAATAAGTTAATAAATGCCCCTAAAATTTTTATATAGATAGATACAAGGTGTGAAAAAGCAAGCAATGGCATATGAATCAGAGTCAGCTATTTTGATCCATTCCAGAATAGTCATCATAAAAAGAAAACATGGATTAAGATAAAAAAGAATTACAAAAATACCTACCTTAACCTCCTCAAAAAGTTTCTTTTCCCATGCATATAACCTTCCTAAGGTTAATAAATGACTTCCTGAATCCATTCCTCCATAATCATCAAACAAATCATTCTTATATTCCACCCAAGTAGAAGAATTTTTCATATTTGGAACCACGAGACTCTTGCATGATGATTGCCTAGATGAAATGGACTTCCATGTTATTGCATGAATGAGTTTAGTCGAACTTTCTGCATTGAGATCAGATGGTTCAAAATCTCAAGGGTTGAAACATGGAACAGAAGCATATGAACCCATGCAGAGATAATGAAATGCATACGGATGGAGCATACAAAATACACAGTGCATTAGTGTATCAAGTATATATAGATGAAATCGACATATCACGAGATGGGACATGCATAATATTGCTTTTCAAAGCATGCAGAAATAACACTAATAGCAGGGCTTTGATTAATCTTCAGATCAAAATCATTTTTATTTACTAATTTTATCTTCAAGAGCTCTCTCATTAAGCTTTTAATTTTATAATCATCTATTTTGAAAATAAAATAAACTAATTCAAATAAACACCAAGTACTCTAACATAACAGCACTTCCTTTGGGGGCTCAGATAGATCTTGAAATTAATTCACAAATGTAAACAGACAGTGGTGGTTCACTAGAGGCATTCAAATTAATAGTTGACATATTAAAGGTTGCGTGGGCAATGTAAGAAAAGCACCTATCAGTAAAAATAGCCTTATACAAGTGACACCGTTGATTTGAGTACCTATAGTAAGAAATACAGTGTCTACGGTCAAGTTAGCTACTTTAGAAACTCCAGTGCCTATGGTCACATGGATCAACACGTAGAGTGTCAGATGATGACCTATGCAGGAATATGAGATAATCCAAATAGCATATTTACAAGATGAACTAAAATGTCCAACAGTCCAAGATTGAATATACCCGAAAATATCCAAAGTTGGGCGGAGAAAAGGACACTCCATAATGGAAATAGAAACAAGTTAATGGTGACATGATAATCATACCTGGCACATGCCGAATGTTGAGACTAATAATATGAGGCAGAACCAACACAGCACAACACAACAATGTACAAGTTTTCATGAACCAATTACATCACATAGTAATTATTACTTCCACTAGTTAATAATTCAAGAAACTCAACTGCAAACATGAATTTGATATTTGCAAAATAACATCTCATAAAGTTTCCTAGATTACAAAACTTGAAGAGAGGGACCCACCTTTTATTTCATCCAAACTAGAATGAAGGGGAATCTTATTAGCCTCCAGCATCCTGGTTACATCCTTACCAGAATCATAAGCCCTGAGAAAATGGTCCTCAATGTCTTTCAAAGCTTCAAGCAACTCTCTTCCCTCTGCTGGTGTATCAAGAACTGCAAGACCCCTTTGCTCCCCTTGGTTTTCAGTGGCCACATCCACCACCTTCATTGTTTCAACACTACTTACCACTTTCTCATCACCTTCATTGTTATTCTCTTCAACACTTACCACTTTTTGCACAACCTCTTCTCTCTCTACTTCTTCCTCCAACTCCGGAATCCCCTCCTCCTCCCTAACTGCCCTCAAATCATCATCTGAGTTCCTGTGGTAGCCACTCATAACCTCACTCCTCACACTGTCAAAAGGGTAGAAAAAGTCCCATCCAAAATCTCTCTGAGGGGATGGCATTGAAGGTGGCATAGACATAGGCATAGGCATAGACATAGACATAGACATAGGCATAGTCATAGGCATGCAATAGTACCCACATGGTTGTTCATCTTGTTCTTCTCCCTTACCTTCATATTCTCCTCCCCTTTTTTCTTCACTCTCTTCCTCAGAAGACTCTGAGGTTGTTGAAGAAATGCATGAGTCACAAGCAATGGCTTCATGCTTAGTTTCTGAGGGTGTCTGTTGGAGGAACATGGGGTTGGTTATGACATTCTCAGCGGGTGGAGAAGGAGAATGAGAAGGGCAAGGAGGAGGGAAAGTTATGAGGAAAGGTGACGAAGGAGAAGAGTGGCGTGCAACGAAGAGCTTAATGGCCGCAGCTACAGCATCGAGAGAGTGAAAATACTTACAATGAGCCTCAGCAAGTGCATATCTTTTCTCCACAGCTAGCTTTAACATTCGCTTTCTCTCTCTACAAATAGCCACCACTTCCTCTTCTTCCTCTAGTTTGGAGGCAACACATCCCATCTCTCTCTCTCTAAAGTGTAGTGTAGAGGGTGCACCTTATCTTCACAGGGGTTGGATGCTTTAGGAAGATGGAGTGAGAAAGGCTCTTACTTGCTCTTTCTCTGACAAAAAAGGAGGGAGCTTTCCCAGGTAGAGAGAAGCAACTTTCGACTGGGTTTTAAAAGAAACAAACAAGTTTTCGAAAAATAGCCTTTTTCCCAAGTTTTGGAGGAAAAGAAAACCATTCCTCTTTTTGAGACAAAAATGCAGCAGATTTTGTTGTTGAACAAGAAGCCTTAAAAACAAAACAACCTAGCAAAGATTTCCATCCACCAAAGCGGCCAGCTACAACAAGATGGAGATATTTAAATATTAATTAGAGATAAAGTTATTAGCATTATTATTAGTGTCTTAATAGGAGTATCTTACCTAAAAACTGTACCATTAGCAGTAAATATCCTTAAAAAAACTGCAAAACTACTACACACTTGTGAAGAAGAGAGAGGGTGTAAAGAAGGTAGGGGCTCGAGAAAGAAAGAGAAGAAAGGGTTCTTTCTAGAGTTTGGCAATTTGCACTTGATGGCTTAAGTACGGTTATGGTGAGGCATTGTTCCTTCTTTGTTAAAAAGGAGTAGTAGTAGAGCCTAGAGAGATTAAAAATAATAGTACAAAAAACAAAAAGAAAAAGTAGCATATTAACGAAGAGAGTGAGTGAGTGACTTGTGAGAAAAAAGAGGAGTCTAAACTGAGAGAGAGAGAGAGAGACAACAAAAACCGTTCCACTCCACCAGAGGATGGTTTTTGTCAGTAAACGGTGTCTTGTTTGTGTTTTTCAAACTATAGTCTTTGTCTTGTAATCACTCTTATAATGAAAGAATAATTGTGTTTATACTTTATACCATAAAATTTAAAACTTCTGTCCAAATGTCAATTACTGTCTATAAGATAGTAGTACTGTAGTATAAAAAATAAAATACTTTTTAAAAACAGTTCAGTTCAATGTAAATTTTAAAACATTTTTTACATGATTTTGAAAGTAAAAGAAAATATTTATTGTTATTAGTGTTGTATGTTGGATACGGTGATAAGAAACGGTCAACAAGGGCAGAGCAAGTTGCTAATTGGGATTCAGTGTGGGTTTAGCAGAAGAGATAGATGTCAGAAGGTGTCATAGTGACATTTTTTACTTTAATGACCAAATTGCCCCTTGAAGTTGGGTTGGATTAGATGCCCTGCCCCACTGTCCCCATTGCCACTAGATTTTGCCAGTTTTTTCAGGTCTCATTTCTGTGATGCTTTCTCCTAAGCAGTGCAAACTGCAAACCCCAACCTCATCTGTGCATGTAACCAGCAATTCTTTGATCCTAGTTGCTTATAAGAAATAAATTATCAGAACTTGAATAGATTTTATAATGTTACATTACTTTTAAGTGATCAAATCTAATTTTTACATATTTTACTTTAATGCTAAAAATCTTATAAGCTATTCACATTTTTTTACATTTCATTTTGTGACAATTTAAAATAATTTTATTGATTATAAGATGCAAAAAAAAAAATTTACTAAGAATAGTTGTTTAACTTAGAGTATGCTCTCATTTAAAATAAATAAAATAAAAAAAAACTGAAGTTCCCGACACATCATATTTCAATGAGAAATATTTATAAAAATCTGTGTTTAAAATTAAAAACCAATATAAGAGCTTGAATTGGTGATGCTTTTAGCTGTCTTTTTCTTTAAAAAAATAGTTAACGATGATGTAAATCCTTTTGGGCATAATTTTTTTCTCTGTCTTAATCTTAGGTTGCCTCTATAATTAGCTTTAGGTTTCAATTGAATTTAACCCAATATTAGGCTGAGTTAAATTTAAACCAAGTCAAGTTCAAAACACTTGTTAATGTCTTCACTCAAACTTTGAAATGACAGTGTTACACTGTCATGATTCTAGTTTTTGCATATTAGTATTTATGAATGTTATAATTGCAATTTAATCTTTGCGAGATATTTTACCTCAATGCCACTGCCCGCCTCTACTCTTTTTAATTAATTATATTATTATTATTATTATCCTTAACTCAAACTCAAACCCAAACACCCGAGTAATATATAGTAATAATTTGGAGTTTGGAGTCTCCAAGATGATTGATCAACGGTAAGAATATTTAATTGATTGGCACAAGAATTAACCTTAAATCGTGTACATTAATCCTAAAGCATTAAATATAGAAATGGGGTGAAGAGAGTATAATTAGGCTCCCTCAATCTTAAACCATTATTGAACACAAAAGCATTATTTGTGGCTAGAGGAAACAAAGGAAAACATGCTAAAAATTGAAATTTATGAATTAGAAGAAACAGAAAAAGCATTATTTGTGGTGATTTTAGATGTAATAGTAACAAGAAGCCATTTTCACCGATCCAAGCCCCCAAATCACGTCCCTTGCATTGTGCCATTTATATTGCCCACAACCCCACAACTCAATCGCAAACAATAATATATGAACAAAATCAATCAACCATGCCTGCTGCACCCAAAACAGGATCCAACACCTTAACTTTTCTTTATTTCAAAATTTCTAGATCAGTTCAGTAACCAAATCTTATAGTTTGACAAAAACAAAAAAAGAAGATTGGATTAGACTTTTAAATTGTCAAATGAAAATAAGAGTTATATCAACCCAATAAAATAAATTTCTGTTGAGATACAAACAAGTCCCACATTGATAAAATATGATAAAAAATAACAATTTATATAACATAAACATACTTCAATGATTGAGAGACCTTTTAGATAATAACCAAAAACAAAATCGTGAGGATCAAGTCCTGAAGCGGACAATATCGTAGAATATATTTATGTAATAACTTTCATAAAAATATCCTCTCAAATAAATATACCACAAAAATAACCCAATTTCAATTCAAGTTTTCAACTATTTTGTAATCAAATGAATTTTGCGAATCAAGGGAATGTTTGTCCGTAAATAGTACAACACAAGTTATTCATGAGTCACTTTATTTAAAATAATTTTAACTAGACATTCTTTAAAATGTTACCATTGGATGCAATTTGCACCGCAAACCGACATTCTATTATTTTGAAATCAAAAACTAAACTTTTTTTTTAATATATTTTTACATCTGACTTTTTTTAATAAAATTTTGCTTTTATTCCTTAAATAAGAAATCGAGCATATTTAGGCTTTTCATCAATATCTTTAACTTTTGTTGTCAAGTAACACTGTAAGTCACGTTATTAATTTGTCTGACGTTATAAGTGTAGTGGTTTTTTAATATATATATAAATTGTTTTTTTTATAACATATTTATTATGAAATTCACTTTTAATTTGTTAAGATTATTTTAATTGGTCTAAATTTTACAAAAAAAAATTTTCATTTTTTACTGCCAAGTATCCTTGTTAAGCAAAGATACAATGCCAGTAATATGACTTTTCACGCAAAGTATTAATTTAACGTAATAATCACGTGTTATAATGTTATTAGTATAGTTAAGTATGTCTAACTTAATAAAAAATTTTAAGACATAAATTTCAAAAGTTCATATTTTTAAAAAGACTAGTGAAAGATTAATGAGATAAGCTTTAAAAATTGAGGAACTTCCTTTTTTCTATTTTTCAACTAATCTCTTGTAGTCTTTTTCTCAGTCAGAGTAGATTATTATATTCAAAGTTTGGAGGTTGAGAATTTGAGTTGTGAGCCAAACGAGGATTTTCTTCTTTTTCCTTTTCCTTCTCTTTGGAACTATAAAGATGAGAAAAGTTGTGTGTTTAGAACAATTGTTGATGCATGCTAATTGTTGTTATTTAATCATTTAGGATGTAGTTAATATTAATTGAATCCATGTGATGGGTAGAAAAGAGGTTGAAGTTATTCAAGTTGGGAGTGAGAAGAATTTGATAATTATGAGGGGTTAGGCAATTAGTTGTAATTTAAACCCTAAACTCTTTATGTTTACAAAATCTCACATCGCTTAAGAATTAAAACAAGGGTAATTTATAAGTATCTTCCCTCATTAACCTACAGAGATGTTTTTTCAAGGACAAAATCGTAAAGTCTAACAAGTGTCGAAGCGGACAATATCTCCGATAACAAAAGAGAAAGGTGACAACAACAAATTTCAACATCACAAAAATTTTCAAATGGATTATTAATTTGTTTATTACATTTCCTTGTCTATCTTTTTAAATTTGGTAGTATCTTAGAATCCTAGAAAAATGTTTAAAACCAACAATATTTTATCCCACTATCATTACATTAAATTATAATGTTTGTTTTGTAATTAGAACTCTTCCAAACACCTGTTTAGAAAAAAAAGCAAATTCTTACTTTCTATTTTTATATTTTGGAAAGTGCAAATTTTCGTTTATATTGTGAGAAATGATTTTTTTCAAATGCACTATTGATAAATCACATGATAAGTCACGTATTTATCACATCATCCCTTAATAATAACACTAGTTACGAGAGACTAAAAACAATGATAAATAATTATTGAAATATTATGATGGATTAAAAAAATATTTGAGGGACTAAATCTTTATACAGCATAATGCGTATAAAAAAAAACTAAAAAACAACGCAATCTAAAATAAACTAAAAAATATATATTTTTTAGCTCAATTTAAAGCCAAAGTACTTTATGAGATTTTTATTGTATCAACTTTGCCAACAGTTGATAGGATCGGAATTTCACGCGTGGGAATCCTGCACCGAAAGGGGGTTGTAACTTGCCGGTAGTTAAAAATGATGATACACCAAAATTTTGTGCACATACTTTCCTTTATGAGTGAAATTGATGTTAGTGTTTTGGCTTACATCAAATTACATTTTATAACTAACATGTCTATTTTATTTGAATCCTTTATTAGGAGTTCAAGCCACACTGACCATGCACTGTTTCATGTTTCAATTTGCGACCAAATCCATAATGTGTCCATTGTCCAACCACAACTCATGTCTTACATGGAATCTAATAGGACCCACCTTAATTGTGAGGCTTCCTACAACCCAAAATGGAAAGTAAAAAAGGTTAGTTCTTTCCTTGGTCCTATGTTTTCGCATGTCTTACTGGGTCACACTTTTAAGAAAACAAACAAACGGATTGACCAAAAAAATAAAAATAAATAAATAGTAAAAGAAGAAAAGAAACAAGCATATGTTTTCCAGTAAATCCACAAAACAATTTCCCATAATAAGATAAGGGATAAACTCTTCTTTGAGGCTGTTTGACTTAACTTCCTTTTTTACTTATAAATTGTTTTAAAATTGAAGTTCAAAATTAAAGTTTTGAAGGTGTGACATATGCTTTTTTTTCTTCTTACTAAATACTCAATAAATCCATCTTATGTTCTACTTTTTCTCTCTTTTATTTTTTATATTTTCATTTCCTTTCGTAAATCAAATATACTATCAAGAGATTGAATAATGGATAAGAACAAGACCAAAGAAAAAGGGAAAATAGAGAGCGAGAAAAAAGAAGGGGAAAAAATCAATTTTCTTGAAAATATTTTATAAAAATTAAGGTAAAAGCAACTTTCCCGTTTTTAAAACAATTATTTTGTGTCTAATTGGTCGGTTCATCAATTACAATTCCTACAGAAAAGATTAGTTTAAGTTATTTGACAATTTTTTTTATCGTTAAAATCATTCCTGAAAAGAATAGAATTGATTTTACTATAAGCATTTTTTCTAATTTCTTGAGCCAAACTATTTTAAAAACTTTTACATTCACAAATCAAAGGTGATTTAAATTTATCATTCAAGCAAAACAAACTTTTTTAAATTCACTTATAATATTTTTCTGAACACGTTTTCTTTATATCCCTTCATTCAAATTATCTATTTATTTATCTTCATTTGAAAAAGTCTAACTTTGGTGTCAAAAAAATAAATCTAACTTATGCTTTATTTCATACTGAGGAAGCAGAAAGCGTGTGTGTAGGATTGTTTGATTGGTTATGTTCAATGTGACAATGAATCCACCTTTAACATTACATCATGCATCATCTAGATGGTGATTTTCCTCTCCACTTTCCAACACTTGAATACATTACCTACAATACAGCAACAGTTCCCAAATCACAAATTGTAAGATCAAAATTACCAAGATAGACAGGGAAATGGTAAAAGAGAAAAAAGAAAAAAGGATAAAATGTTGCCGAGGCAACTCTTATAATGGTCATCAGAAGAAGATTTCTTCTGTTCTTTTGGTTTTGAGGGGAAAGGGAAAAAGAAACCTAAACAAGAGTATTAGTATCCTAGTAAGTTACAGTTCACATTCAAAGAATTGAAGTGCTGCTCCTCTCATTGCTATTTGAAGATAACTGGTATTCACACAAGAAAATGATACAACAGAGAAAAAGAAAGATAAAAAGATACAACTTAGATCAGGTACCACCAATCTCTGTTGGTGTTGTACAAGGTGCCAGTGTGTTATGAGGCAGGTTAATACCACCCCCTCTAACAGAAATTCCAGGGAACTTCACAGTGCTTGCCCTGCTCACCAGATTTGAGTCAAGATACACAACAATCACCGTGGTATCATCATGGAAATGACGCCGAACTCCGCGGTCAATTTTCTTTAAATCTGAATATCTCATTTCTCTCTTCTTTGCAGCTTCTTGAAGAGCAGCTTTCACCAGCCTCCTTGCACTTCCCTGAAAGAAGGATAGAGGATGAAACATGAATCCATTTTGCACAACCACGTTAGATATCCAAGTTAAGGGAAGGCTTTATATTCCATCATGAGTTTCTCTATGCAAAATTATAAAACGTAAACTGAATTTATATCCAAGAACAGATTATTTTTTGTTATTTAGTATAGTTGAATTTAAACATGTATCTTACACTGCGGGGGCTGTTTTGAACTATATCAACTGCTTCTTGATTGCTAAGGTGCTCCCAGAGTCCATCAGATGCGAATATAATAAATTGATCGTGTGGCTGCAAATGATGCACTGATATCGATGGTTCGGAGCTCAGTATTGGCCACTTGATCGGTTCCCGAAGTCGAAACTTGCCATATAGTGGTTCTCTATTGAACTCCGCCTTTTTCAAATATACATCACCAATGGATTTAGAAACCTGCAAGGTAAAAACAGATTTTAAAATTTATGATGCAATTCAATTGAGAGAGAGAGAGAGAGAAGGTCTTTAAGTCAAGTTTTGTTTGGTAAGATAACAATAAACATTGAATTCATTGAGTTGAGGCACCTCTAGTAAAGTCAGTATTGACAAGTGACAAAGCCCAAGGATTATCAGGATGTATCAAGTTAAGAATTAGATATGACAAGCCCAAAGCCAAGTTTCAACTTTCATGAAGAAAAGACAACATTACGTGTATTTGACATCATTAGATCAAATTCTTGTCGAATTATAACAAAGTTACTATAACAGAATTACATGATGCTAAGGGTATTTAACTCTTTCTATCATCACAACTTTAATAATACTATAATTGTTGTGATGAAAACTAACCCATTTAGCCCAGCATTTAGAAACTGAATCTATACCGTTGCACTAAGACAACTTCAACAGCTATTCATTGCAACTGATAGTTTTATGCTTATATGAAGTCATAACATATACTGTGATGTTTAATACTAGTAAATAACATAAAACTCTGTTGAAATTTGACACTGACGTTATTTCTCTCTCTCTCTCTCTCTCTCCACCCCACCCTAGTCTCTTCACCCTGTATTTTTTCAAAAGCCATTTTCCACATCCCGAAAACACACTATATCGTATATCCTGAAAAATGAATATTTAACTTCCAACATCGGAAGGTTATAAAGTGGTATTAAGATGTGTGAAGTGTTCATCATGATGTCATCTGCTACATGTACATGTAGCACCTAGAATAGATAAATAACCATCCCCAGTAGCTGGAAAAGCAATAATATGAGCTAGAAGTAACTTACTTGAATAAGGCCCTTCACACGCCATACATTATGCTTTAAAACCACGATATTTGGATCATCAGGATGCAAAGAATGCAGCTCCTGTCTTATAGACTCTATTGATGCATTGTGCTCTGTCGATAATTGCATGGCTAAAACCTCACCAGTTGCCTTGACCGCTCTTAACTGCCCGGGAATCCCCAAGGTTTGCTATATAAAGCGTTCCACTACAAATAACACCAACAAGACAACATGAACCAACAGCTGCTATTTGAGGCGACATGGACCATTGTCTGGCAACCACTGACATAAACCCCTCTTCTGTTGCTTGGAGTGCCTTGCGAATTACATCCACCGACATCGATTGCTGCTCTGAAGTAAATCCTGAAATTTAAATAGAGAAAGAATATGCTTAATCAATATTCAGTAATCATGTGCAGAGCAATGGTTCAAAACACAAATAATTCATGAACAACAGACATGCAACAAAACAGGTGCTGAAAACCACGATTTTCTTTGTTTCAATTCTGTGTAAATCTGACAGTTTTTACAGCCTTAAATTCATTGCATGGCCGATAAAATGGAAGACAAAAAAATAGTGGGAGGGAAACCATCGACCCACAATCACCATTATTGGCAGACTGGCACCAAAAGAATGAAACCTCACCAGCTATACTCTAACAATTTCTCTGGTAAATAAGAAAATAAAAGAAGAAAACTGAGACTCTTATAGGCATATACCTATTTTGAGGCAAAAATCTTGTCTCTTGCATATTAAAGCAAGCAACATAATCCAAACTATTCTATTCCCTAATTGTTCAAGGCTTCAAGCTAAACAAGGTTGAGGTGAAAATGAAATAGATGACTGCTTTTCTTCCCCTCGGTCTATCTTAAGACAATTCCCAGTATGTTCTTTTTTGTCCAGTTAAAAGGCAAAATTGACTATAAGAGACTTGGAACTAGAAAACAGAAAAAATATAGCAAGGCAAGAAGTAAAATCTATTCCAACACAGAAAAGCTTGAAAAATCCACTCATCTTGTTGTCAACTTACTCTTGAGATGGTGAAATAGGTGATCATTGATAAACCGCGATGTTTCAGGCCCTCCATGGCCATCATAGATACCGATGAAGGTACCATAAGGGCCAGATTCGTTGGAGCTCAAACTGCCTGATTCAATCTGGCTCTGATCTTCCAGCAAGTTGTTAGCTTGTATTACAGCCATTGAAAATTCACCATTCAAGTGCTGCCCCGTGTCTTTGTACCATAATAGTCCATCCTGTCTACCTCCAGCATCCGAACCTGTGCGTGTAAACCCATCCGAACCCGGCCGAAAGCAGGCCTTCAATAAGTTCATCAACCCCGATAACATCCCTCATTTCACCAAACAACCGTCAAGGATTTCAACATCTAACAACTACCCCAAAAACGACTTCACCCCCAAGAATTTTCATACACTATAGATATAGTCCTGCACTCCTTACCCGTCACCCCAACGATGAAGATGATCTCGCACAAACTACAACAATATCAGCAAACAAATACGGTTAAAATCAATTATGGCTCAACATCAACAAACAAACAAACACAACCTGGAACTTGTATGAACTAGAAATGTGCAAGACAAATTCCTTTTCACAGTTTTCTAAGGAATGAATGAATGAGTGAACAGCACCCTCAAACTATAAATTAACTTCCCCAATGAAAAAATCCAACTTTTCGGTTTCTTCTAAACACAACAAAAACTATGACCATACACAGCCGCTAAAGATGAAAAATTCAACAAAGGGGAAATTTAATTTTCTTTTTTCCCCAAGGGTCAAAACCCACTTTTTCTAAGACAAACTTTTTGGTCAGCTGATTGGAAATCCCTTGTTCACATTTACATTGAAAATCAAAACCCCAAGTTGCACTAATCTCCATAAATCCAATAACGGCAACAAGTTAGCTTTTTTCATCAAGGGTAATCATATATTGTACGAAAAAAAGTCCAAGTAAGATAAAAATTCAGGTCAGAGATCTCACCCAACAAAATTTGACTATCGATTAGAAGCTATTGGGAAGCCCCAGATGAAGAAGACAATGATCCGTGGTGAAGAAAGTGTGTGAAATCATTAGATCTGTGGATCCATCAAAATCATTAGAAAGAAAGAGAAATGGGTTTATTGTGCTGTTTTTGTAGCTAAGTGGTGTGTTTGCAGATGGTGAAAGTGTTGGAGAAAGAAAAAGGAGTGGTGCATGAAAGAGAATTGAAAATTGATAAGTGTGAAAGATTGGACAAAGTGTGAAACCCTTTTTTGTTCTGAACTCAGAGGTGAAGCCCCATAAAAAGACTAACAATGAAGAGCTTGGAGCCAGCAAAGCACAGGTCCAGCTATGGGCTCCACACCACTATGAAGAACTAGAGAGAGAAACAGAAACATAGAAAGAGAAACAGAGTCAATGAAATGAAACATGACATTTTTTGACAACCATAATTTTAACCACTTACATTATGGCTTGTCATACGAAAACAAACACAACAAAGAATTACACATTTTTGAAAATTATTTGGTACTATTCAATGGACTATGCTCAATTATCGGGATTTAATCTTCATGCGCTGTAAATGTAAAAAATAAATAAAAATTATACACTTGATATCATTTATTCAAATAATTCTCATAAAAATTAACAAAATTATTATACATAATCTTTATAATTAGATGATAATTTAAAATCATTCTTATGCGAATTTTGTTTACAGTTAAAATTTGTTATAATAATTTCCAATAATTAAGCCAGGATATATTAATATGCTGTCCGTTACTTCGTTGGATTTAAATTTGACAGAAAATTAATACAAGGTGGACTTGGTTTGTAGGTGGGAGTAACAAATATGATTTGGGCTATGTTAATCATATTTAGAATAAATTATGAAAATATCTTGTCAAATTTTATAATAATCTCCATATATTTATTTGACTTATCTTCAATTGTACGGCAAAGTTAGCTGTGTGGAGGCCAAGGAATTGAACAAAGAATTTGAGAGCGGAGGACTGACTCTCCAATCTCCAATCCATCGATGATCAATCAACATAAATTCATGTCATCTTGATGGAGGAATTTTTGGTATTTTTTTTAGTTATTATTATACTTTAATACAAATTTTCTTTTTAACACCGTTTTTTAACAATCCTTAAAATGTGACTTTATATTTAGTTGTATTTTTTTTATAATTATATTATTAATACAAAATATTTCTTAATTTTATTTCTATTCCAATCAATTTTGTGAATTTATATATTTAAAATTCTTTTATTCCTTTTAGAAAGATATAGTTTATTGATTATTATCTATGACTGTTTACGATTTTAGCATTTCCCACAACTTTAACTGATGTAAAAGAAAGTGGGATAAATGACTAATATAATACCACTTGAAAAAATCCTCTTTCGATAATCGGTGGTCCTATATACTTGTAATCTGATTTTAACATTTATTATTTTATATTTATGATGACTCGTTGATTTCACTCTACTCATATTAATTTCACCCACTTATATTTAAAATTGTGACTTAATATCATTATAGTCCTCAATTTAAAAATTTTATTTCTTAGTCTTATAAAATAATCTCAGTTCTTTTAATCTGTGTAATATTTTTGTGTTTTCTAACCCTATCATTAAAAAAAATTATGCTAAACAATAATTTAATAAATAAAATTTCATGTCATTGCACCATATATCATTTACTTACACATGTGTTTTAAGAAAAAAAAAATATAATAACTAAAAAAATAAAATACTAAATTATAAGAACTGAAATATTTCAAAATATTGAGTGCATGGTAAAATATTTCAAAAATTTATAAATTTTTTAATTAATTTATAAGTTAATGTATCCAAAATAAATTTGTTTAGTAAATGAATTGAAATAGTTTATTTTTACAAATTAATTGAAATAGTTTATGAGTGTTTTTGATAAAAATTAGTTTATAAACTGAATGAAAACTTACAAGTAAAATGTTGAAAATTTAAAAACTTAAAAATTAATTGATTTAATTAAAAATATTTAATAAAATTAGCTGATAAACTATCTTTTTTGGTAAATATAGGAAAGATTACAAAAATGGTCGCAGTGAGGATTGAACTTAGGTCTTTATGCTTTTAACTACCTCAACCCCTCTCCACCCAACCACTAGGCTAATCCTAGTGGTTTTTAGCCGATAAACTATCTAATCAATATAAAATAATATAATTATTTATTTAATAATGAGAATGAGAGACTAAGGGTGTGTTTGTTTTATCATCAGCACACTTTTCAATGCCCGTTCAATTGAATCCATGAGTCTTGTAGCTTTGGATTGAATGTACGTTTGAGGCTTCTCAACTATAAAACAAACATGCTGTAAGAAGTAAATAAAATAGTTTTAAAATTTAAAAAAAGGTATAAAAAAATATTTCATAAAATTAATATGAATAAAAAAACTAAAAACTTTAATCATAAGTTATTTTAATTAATTTATAAAAATAACTTATAAACTTATAAAATAAACTCACATACCAAACTGACTTACAAGTTAATCAAGAAATTTTATTAATTTTTCAAATTCCTTGTCAAACATATTTTATAGCTTAGTTTTTTTTCATTCTTTTTATATCTTTATTTTTTTGTATAAATTATTTTATTTATCATATCATTCTCTTATTCTCATTATTAAAATTATTTTATGTTATTTTATATTTATTAGTTAATCTTTTATGTTATTTTACATTTATTAGTTAATCTTATATAGAGTTATAATTTTTCAACTCTAAGTTTATAAATTAATTTTATTCAATACATTTTTTTATATTTCTTTAAATACATTTTCATTTAACTTTATCTTTAAATTGAGATTTAATATTTTTAAAAAAAATTATCATTATGAATAGAATGCAATGGAATTATTGTGACCCTGTATACCAGACAATTATGACTCCTTTAACAGGCACAGCGTGACCATGTTATTTTCATAGGAATGGGACTTTGTTATGGTGCTGGCTGGTCCACGATGATGCGCACAAAAGTTTATTTTCTTTTTATTCTTTTTTAGCTTGAAAAAAATAATAATTAATATAAATTTTATGATTCAATTTAAAATTATTATCTTTAATTTTTCTAATTTTTAATATTTTAATTTTAATTTTTTATATTATCAATAACATATATAAAAATGACATATTGAAACAATTATACAATATAACTAAGTTTAATATAAGAATTAAAATAATTTTTTTAAAATTATGTAATTAAAAAGATCAATTTTAAATTTAAATGATTAAAAATATATCTATTTTAAATTTAAGATATTAAAAATATGTTTAAATCTAAACTTTAAGTATTAAACATATATCTTTCTCACTAATAGAAAATATAAATTATATTCAAATACAATATTGAATTATATAAACTACTAATTTTTATCATTTGTATATATGTGTGATATAAATGTTTATTTTTGTAATAGATATTAATAGTGTATAAAGAAAAAAAAGGGGGAAAAATATATGCATATGTAATGAATTGTTGCTAAAAAAACACGTGATAAATATAAAGGGTCAATTTTACTCATAAAAAAATATATAAAAAATATCCTTAGAATATCTCAATTCTCACAACATATGACGTTGTCATCCTTATACATTTTTTTTCATAACAATTATCAGTTATGAAAATAATGATTTCATATTTTATTTATTCCTGACACACGTGATTTTTCCATTTAGATTCAGAGAGAGGACCTATAATTTCTGATACACATGGTTGTATGAATTTTTATTTTAAAAGTAGTTTTTTTATTAAATGATATGAAGGAAAATATCTTTATATTTTTAATTTTCTTGTCTTATCTGAATATAAGAATAATTTAATTTTATTATTATTGTTTTTAGTATAGATACCTGCAGGTTTTATTTGAAATGCAAAAGGTGTTCTGTTTTAGTAAGTACAAGTGAGTTTGGATACAATTTTATTTTTGTTTCTATGTGTTTGAAAATTTTGTTAGACTCGTTTTTTTAAGTTATCAGGAGTCGAGACTGAGCAAATTGTAGCCAATATAGAGTCAACTCATTATTATAGTGTTATATAAATTTTAACATTGCATATTGTTAATTTATAAAATAAAAAATATATTATTGTAAATATAATAAACATAATAATATATAATACAAAATGTTATCTATCAATTTTTTTTAATATAATGATTAAAAATTAAATTGAAATTGGACCAATTAGAATGAATCAAAATATATATTTGTTCTAAAAATATAATGAGTCTCATTTTAAAAATTTTGAACCAATTGAAGTGAGCAATAAATTCTCGCACACTTCTAACTAAGAGGAAGCTTAGTGCATGTTTACTAAATGATAACTATCAAATTTTTATTATAATTATGATGACTATTAAAAAATTATTATTAGTATTATTATCAAAATTTTATTATGTATATAGATGGCGTATTTTGAGGTATTGATGCTCAGAAAGCAGTATGTCATTAATGCATGTTAACAACTTAAGATTTAGAAAAAATAAATTATTTTTAAAAATTGAAGATCTCACATAGAGAATTTTTGAGTGATTCTATTAGAAACTCTTTGTTGAGTAATTGTGTCTCTTTAAGTGGGTTTTTAGGTGTGTTGTGTCTTCTCTAGATCTTTAGTTAGTGGTTGTATGCACTTGTAGCTCCCAATAGGGATTAATCACTGCTTGTAGTGGTAAATATTTCATACTAATACCTTGGTTTGAAAAAAAAAAACTTATATATTGAAAGATTCATCATCATCTTTTGATCTAACAAATTTAAAGAGAAAATAACAAGTCTATATATATTTACTTCATTTAATAATTCATCATTTTATATTAAATTTTAACAATTTAATAGATAAATTAAAAAAATTTAATACATAAATAAAATTTAACATTTTATATATTAATTTAAATTTATATAACAAAATATATTTTTTAAATTTTTTGAGAAATTTATTGACTTAATATATACTCATAATATTAAAACTACTACTCGTAGAAATATGAATCGAACAGAAGTACTTTTTAAAATATATGGACACGAGAATACTATAATACATTAATACCTATCTAGAGTCTACTTATAGGCATTCTTACTACGACAGCGTATTAATTTTTTTATAGAGATAAAATTCACAATTTTAAAATATTTCGGCAGAGAGAAAATATAGTTTTTTTTTTTTAAATTCCACCTTTATTTTTTCATTAAAAAAAAAAGAGATACGAAATGCTATTCTTGATGAAAATAAAAATTTGATCTTTCATTTTAATTTTAGGTTTTAGTGTAGCCTTCTAATTTTTAAAATAATTAACTTTTACTCCTTTTTATTTTATCAATTAAAATTACAAAAACAACATTATAATTTAAATTTAAATACGAATATTTATTTTCTTTGACATA